CATTTTTATTTTCAGTTGTCATATTTTTTTGTCTTTTGAAATTATAATGTTGACTATTGTCTTCATAGTCTATTTGAATGTACATTCTGAAAGAGATTATTCTTCTGTTGTGTTGATATTGGACCTCATCTAAATCTTTCTGAAGATGTTCTACAGGATATCTGTTGGTGATCCTTTTCTTCCAGATTTGAGGAAGATGCTTTTAAGAGTATCCATGAATTTGGCCAAGAGTAATACAGGGGCAATTAATTTTATGCTCTTCACAAAACTGATATATTGGATTACATGATCAAAATCTCTGGAAACCCAAACAGTTGAACAATTATTGTTAGAATTGCATTTTTAGACACTGCAATGATTTTAGAGAGATTACCAGGTATATGGTGTATATTTCATGGGTACTTTAGAAGACAGTTGGCATAATGGACTGTTACAGCAATGACATGTCAGACTTTGCATCTATTTGAGATCAATAGACATAACATCATCTGATTGATTTCCAGACGTCCAGACTTGAATTGTATAACCTTACTACAGTACAAGAAATTAGCTAGTAAAGGAAAAAGTCAAAAGACAGTTGGAATACTGCCAAATTTCCTTGTGTAAATTTCCTGAATAAGCTGTGTAATTTGTTGTAATGTTGATTTTCTCAAAGTCATTTTTTTTAAATCAATGGTAGCAGTAAAATGTAGTGCATGAACAGCATCTGTGTGCACATACATTTAAGTGTTCTGCTTCACTGACAACAGCCTCAGTTGATTGGAGTTTAGGCTTGCAGAGAATGTTTACTTGGCCAAAATTATTGGTGGAATTGTAATTGAAGCTAAAATTCTAGGTTAAAAAGATTGCTGATTACCATTGCAGTTGTTTGGCAAACATACAGTAGCGTCCAAAACTAAGGGACAAAATTTTAAAACCTAACATTTGTTAGAAATAACAACTGTGAAAAGCTGAAATTTTGACAACTGGTAGTCGTTATCATCCATAATAACATACTAAAATTTGAATCATTTGCAAAGGATAGAAAAAGAATTATAACAATTATTTATTTATTTTCAAAATAGGATCGTCCAAAAGTAAGGGACAAAATTGAGAAAAACAATGTAAACAGTATGCTATATTCAAATTTTTTGATTTCCTCTAAAGAATAAGTCATTTGTAAACATTGCATCAGCCGGCACCATGGCGAAATGCCAAAAACTTGATTACTCTGTGAGACAAGCTATTGTGAAGCTACACAAGGAAAAGCAGACCATTAGAGGGATTTCAGAGAAAGTGAAACGTTCCAAGAGTGTTGTAGGCAAGGTTGTTAAATCCTACAATGATACTGGCAAAATAGTTAGTGCTTTTAAAACCGGCAGACCCCGCAAAACTTCGGCAAGAGAAGATCGAAGAATGCAGCGTATGTCATTAAAGGACCGTTTTAAGTCTTGCACAGAAATTAAAAGGGTTATGAATAGTACCTCATGTGTTAATGTGTCAAGACAGACTGTTTGTAGACGACTGCAAGAAATAGGGCTGTTTAATCGAACCCCAGGGAAGAAACCACTTGTTAGTTCAAAGAATAAGAAGAAGAGATTAGAGTTTGCAAACAGGTATGTAATTTGGACATATGAAAATTGGGCAAAAGTATTTTTCAGTGATGAAAGCAAGTTTAATTTATTTGGAAAAGATGGAAAAAACAATGTAAAGAGACGTATTGGTGAAAGATTAAGTACAAAGTGTACTAAGAAAACTGTCAAGTTTGGGGGCGGAAGCGTCATGGTATTTGGAATGTTTTCTAGCCAAGGTACAATGCCTCTTGTCCGGTTACAAACTCGTGTAAACGCGCAGATCTATAAAAACATTGTTCAAGATCATGTTGTGCCAATCATACAGAATTCAGGTTTCGATAGGGCTACCTTTATGCAAGATAATGCCCCATGTCACAAGGCAAAGATGGTAATGAGTTACCTTAGCGAGCAAGATGTGGAAATTATGGATTGGCCACCGCAAAGTCCTGATTTAAATCCAATAGAAAATCTTTGGAAGACCTTAGGAGTGAAAGTTATGGAAAGAAATCCCACTAACATGGAGGATTTGTGGGTGAAGCTTCAAGAAGAATGGTCTAAAATTAGTATCGAGGATTGTCAAGAACTGATTCGTTCTTGTAGTCAAAGAAGCTGTCATTGAGAGCAAGGGCTCATTTACTAAATATTGATTGTATGTATTTTTATTGTTTTTTGCCATTTACATTGTTTTTCTCAATTTTGTCCCTTACTTTTGGACATTCCAAATTTGAAAATAAATAAGTAATTGTTATAATTCTTTTTCTATCCTTTGCAAATGATTCAAATTTTAGTATGTTATTATGGATGATAACAACTACCACTTGTCAAAATTTCAGCTTTTCACAGTTGTTATTTCTAACAAATATTAGGTTTTAAAATTTTGTCCCTTAGTTTTGGATGCTACTGTATATTCTTCAAACTGAAAATGGCCAGCAGTGGTTTGACAGAAACTTGAAATGTCCATTGTATGATCTATAATTTTGAGAAGATTCATTAAGATTTCAAATTTTCTCTTCAAGTCACCTCCTTTCCAAATTCTTGATATTTTTTTTTTACTAAATGTTCCTTGCTTTTAAGAACTCTTTTGTACAAAAATTAATGCAATAGACAAGGTCAGGATTTGAACTTGGCTTGCCAATTCTACTTTCTATTACATTTTAGTTAAATATTGTGCTTTGACTAAACATTTTGTGAATCATATTTGAAAAGTAGAATAATCTGATGAGTAATGAATTACACTACAAACTTGCCCATAGTATCAGTTGAAGATTATTATGATTTAATAGAATTGAATGCTGGGTTTTGAACTGACAAATTTTATGTCAATGTTTTCTGTTTTTTAAATTGTTTTTTCTGTTGTTACAAAAGTAGTTGGAATTACTCAAATAATACTGCCATTGTGAATAATATTTATTGTTAGATAGAATAGTTGTTGGCAGTAAAGTTCAGTAAATGACTTTTTCACTAAAAAGTTTCCATAACAATATGGAAACAATAACAACAAAACAAACTTATTTTATATAGACTGCATGCAGCTTCCCTATAAAAAGTTCATCAGATCAGAACACAAAATTGCAAATTATATACTTGCATTATTTAGTATGCTCAATGACATCTGATTGGACAATTCTTTTTCTAATTTTCATACCAGACTAGATATTCCTGAACAGCTTACACTTTATATTTCCTGAAACATTATCATTTTGCTAGTGTTTTGAAAAAATATAATACAGCCACCCTTCACCTGTTTAATGGCCTTCAGATTTACAACCAGCTCTAAAATCTCATGAGAAATTAAAAAAATCCAACTAGATATTATTGCATATTGTTTGGTTTGATCATGCTTATTTTCTCATTCTTCAAAATGAATCAAAGTAAATAAAATGAAGAAAGTGACAAATAAATAATTCTGTGATCTTTGCAAGTTACAGTAACTTTAATATTTATGTCTAATGTGTAGCAATTTTTTTTTTTTGTGGTCAGAAATATGAATTTATTTATTTAGTTCAGGATATGATGTAAGAATAAGTAGTACTTCTTCCACTAGATAAAAAAGTTGAAAGAGCCTGACTTGTTTAGAACTTCCTAAATTATCCTCTTGAAGACAAGGAAGGTGTGTGTGTGTGCGTGTGTGTGTTTAAAACATGAATTTGGCCCAAACTAATAGTGGATAGCAATAAACTCATTATCCTTTGAGTTACCTTCACTTATCATCTGTGTAAATTAAAGTCATCATTGAAAGCTTGTTTATTTACTTCAAAATCTTAACTATATATTTGTACATTTGTCTTAGGGTTTGTCATAATCTTGTGTAGGAAGTGAGTCTTGACAAGCTGCCAACAATACAATAAATGCACATGATTTCTTGCTTATATCTTTGCCTTCGTGTTATTTCCCATTGCTGATGAAAAATCATGAAAATGGTGTGCAAACTAACATTTCTATCTTCCAACATTAAAGCCAACTTCTTATTGCCACACTTAAAATATAGGAAGAAGTTTATGCTAAAAAACAAAATTAAGTGGAAAAGTATACTGAGTGACAGTGGCTAAGGAGGTTGAAAAGAAAAGAAAAAATATCTGTAAAACATTCTATAAGGAAAATAACAAAATAAAAATCTATAAAGATAAAGAGAAAAAGGTATTCAGAAATAAAAATAGAATTAGGATTGTATGGATAATCATTGAAACTGGGATTATATAAAAGTTAAGGCTGTATAATTGGTGGTTTTTGACAATAAGACTAGACATAGGTAATTAATTTGGGTTTATATTCCCTCCTATCTTTATTTTTAGGGATTTTTGTTGATACCGTTCATTTGTTCAATCACTATATATGCAGTTATAGGCTTAACTATTAGTGTTGAAACAAAGAAGTTGTCTCCCCACACCCCACAAACAATACCAATTTCCTGTTCCCTAAACATGAATACTTAGGATCAATTAACAGAGCTACATAACAGTTCAATAATCCTTGCCTGTGAATAAATAGAATCATACAATTGGATATAGTCAGTTTTGTTGGTTAAAAATGTATAGCAATATAGTTGCAAAAAGTATTTAATACTTAAAACTTTATAATTTTTTTCCTTTAAAAAGTAAATACTGTCTTATTTTCATATCAGTTTAACTTTAATAATTAAAAAAATGTTTGGAATCAATTCAGTTGATTTGATAAGTATTTTATGAGATATTATTTTTAGCAACATTTTATTCATTTACAAGATAGATTCGATCATAATAAAAATCAAAATAACTTATATAATTTTCTTTCAAAAACACACAGGACCATCAAGAAGAATGTAAACAACCAAAAGTTAAATAAAAATTTATTTCATCTACTACATTTGAATACAGACATTATTTATGTTCACACATTAAAATGATAAAAAGAAGCAATTTGATTTTTTTTTAAAAATGAATGTGTAAAATAAGCAAGACCAGCACTCACCTGTTTATATCCTTCTACATTAGACCAATTAACATTTTTTATTGACATTGATTCCAGCAGATTTTGCAGTTGCTGCAAGTAAAAAAGCTCAAAATATAACAATAATTAAGAAAACATCAGGAATGCAAATAAAAATAAATCATAGATAAGAACAATATAACACCAATAAAAAAATAAAAGAAAAAGAAATGTATGTTTTTACCAATCTTCACATAATGAATATTGCAAAGAGAATCTATTTTTGTTTATTTTTAATGTATTTATACTTTTATCACATGACTAAAAAAAAAAAAAAAAAAATTAATATCAATAATGCAATTTAATTTGAATTTTGGACATAATTATTATAAGTCCCAATAAGAGTAATTTTAGTTTAAAGTAGGTATGAAATTGGGATATTAAAGACACTCACATTAATATTATGTAGCATCTTAAGTGCATTAAAGTAAATTATGTAGTGGATTATTATTATTATTATAATGTATTATTATTTTCTATATAACTTCACAATAAATAGAGAATGCAAAACAACACATATAATGATGTTTATTTTATTTTTAATGTTGAAACCATGTAAATATCCATTCTTAGGAATAATAATTAGTTGTTCAAAATAGATTTTGTAGCATTTAAAAAATTTTTTCCCTTTTTATAATAGCGGAAAATTTATACAGTGGTACATTTGTTAAGGATATGCATATTCTATTTCAAAATTGAAAATGACATTTTGTTATAATCCCATATTCATCAACAAAGGACAATGTAAACATACAATGCAACCCTTGCTGAAGCTTTCCACTGACTGGTAAATGATTACTGTTATGTCTTCATTCCATTGAATGAATTTTAACTTAATCATGAAATATAAAATTTTTTTTTTGAAGCAGTCTTACTGAATTCTTCCTTTTCAGGATATAACTGTGTATTTTGGCGATTCTTGACAAATATATATACTATTTGGATGAGTCCAACTGCTTTCTCTGTACCATTTTTGAATTTATGGCCTGTTAACTCTCCTATGCCATATTTGCACACATCTGATGCTACTATTATTTGTCGCTGCAGGTTGTAAAGTATCAGAGATAACTCTGAACTTAATAATTTTTTTTTTTCCTTTAACAGCTTTTTGATATTCAACCGACCAATTCTATTTTATACCCTTCTTCAGTAAATTATTCAGAGGTGCTTGCAATTCATACATATCTGGCATATAAATATTATAATAATTTGCTAATCCAAGAAATGATTGTAGGGTCACCAAATTTATTGGGGGAGACATGTCTTTAATGGCACTTGCTCTAGTGGGATCTGCTCTTCTTCCTTTTTTGTTGATTATCTGCCTTAAATATTTAATCTTATCCCTAAAGAACTGACATTTCTGTTCATTGAGTTTGAAACCATAACCATGCAATCTCTGAAATACTTGCTGAATCAGTTTTATGTGCTGTATTATTGTAGCACCCTTAATAAGTATATCATCTATGTAAGCAATGGCACCATTTAGTCCAGCCATCATCGTATCCATTATTTACTGGAAAATACCTGCTGCTACTTTTAGACCGAAGGATAATCTTTAAACTTGTAGAGTTGTTTAAGTGTATTAATAGTCAAATTCTTCTGGCATTTCTCATCCACTTTAATTTGAAGATATGCCTTAAATAGGTCAATTTTGAAAAAAAAAATAAATAAAAAAATTACCACCATTTAATTTGGCAAATATATCCTGTGGTGTTGGTAGGGGATATACATATGGTAAGAGGCAGTCATTCAGCCCAGTTGAAAAATCTGCACATAAATGAATCTTATTTTTCTTTCTAATATAGACCACTGGTGTGGCCTATTCTGAATAATCTATTTTTTCAATAACTCTATGGTTTTCTGTACTATCAAGTTCAGTGTTAATAGACTCCAATGCAGCAAAGGGTATCTTTCTTTTAGGCTTAAAAATTGGTATCACATTTTCTTTTAATTTGAAAAATGCCTTTGTACATTTTCCTAACTCCTCTGAGAAAATATTTGGGAATTTATTTTTTAGTTTACTCAGTGTTTCTTCAGCTGTTCTTGTTTTCTGATGAAAAATTAATTTTGTCCACACAATCAATTAATCAACCAATTCTATAGTTCAAATAATTCTAACCAATTGGCACCTAGTAAATTTGAGTTGGAATTTTTTAATATGTAAACATCTGCTTTTTTTTAGTTTTACCTGCAACAGCAATGTTACTCATAATTTTCCCAAGAAAAATTAATTTTTTGCTTGATATTCCTTTTGCAATTTTATCATTTTTTTCATGCCAATTCTGTTCCAAGTTTGTCCATCAATAATTGTAGTATCACTACCAGTGTCTAATTGAAATCTCACCATAGGGTTATTGATTTTTGTTGCCCAAAATTTTCTATTATTTGAAAATTTCCAGTTTTTTAACTGGTAGCACTACTTTCAGCAAGTTAATTTTGTATTTTCTTTTCATTTTGACTTGCAGTAGCTTTACTTGTGACCTGTTTTTTACAATTGAAACATTTTTTGGTTTTAAATAAAGCATGCCACAGCCATGGGTTAAGTTTGGCAGCATTTTTATTTCTGATTTTTTCTTTCTTTTTGCTATTGTCTTTTTTTTACTTGTACTGATGTGCCATTTTGTTCAATTTTCGCTGTATTGTCCTTAAACTGACAATTTTTTAGGCACTCTTCTGCAACAGTCTGTATTGTTAACTTCAAATCCTGTTCAAATTTTGTAAGGATTTGACAGTGTATTTCTACATCATTATTTGATGTTAAACCTTTAACAAAGATTAGATGTTTAAATCTGTCTGGGGGATAGCTCGCCCACTTTAATTTCTCACACTCACAGTTGACTTTACTGGCATATGTGACAAAATCTTCGTCTTCGTCCTTACAAAGGACGAAGATGAAGATGCTAACATGCATAAAAATGTGCATTCTTTTCACTAAAAATTTTTGATAATATTGACACCATTTTGTTAAATGACACTTTTTCTGGAGTATTTGGCACAATGAATTTCAGATATGTTTCATGTTCAGCAGGACACAATTTTCACAACAGAAGATGTACTTGATTTTCATCCAACCATCCTTGACATTCTTCTCTGAAAATGGCCTTGTACCTTCTGAAGTATGATAGAAATGTAATTTTTTCTTCTGGGACATAATTAAATTCAGATATTCTTTTCTGTGAATTTTGAATTTTCTTCACCAGCTATTTATGCAAAGCGAGAGAAAAAAATTTTTTTCTTTTTCATGCGAATTCAAATCTTCATCGCCACTGTTATGTCTTCATTCCATTGAGTGAAGATAACACAATCATGATATATAATATTGCTTGGAATTAACATAGTCTTACTGAATTCTGTAGTAAGGATATAAAGCTAGCTCCCAGTTAGCTCAGTATTTACTCAAAGCCTCCCCACAGGGCTGGATGTGGCACAAGGCAAGATGTGGCACAAGGCTGGTTTTTAATGTGGGGCATTCCAAGCACATACACTCAGGCATTGTAGACCCCACATACACAGGGTTGGGTAACTGTCTACTTTTCCCCAGATGAGACTGCTGGTAGGCATAGCCTCATCTGGATTCCTTTCTGCCTGAAGGCAGAGAGTCCGACAAGCTCTGAGAGCGCTAGTCCATGCTAGCTCTCTCCTGATGATTCTTGGCATCAATACATATGCAATTTGGATGAGTCCAAGTCATATTCTCGAGAGGTGTGTTCATCTCCACAACAATTATCTCATGTTGCATTTCAATTCTCAATCTTGCTGGTGTGCACCAGGGCAGTCAAAGATAACAAGATGAAAGACAAATACTATGTCAAGAAATAAGAATGCAAACACAGTTTCCCATATTATATATAGATGTTTTATTCTGCTCACCTGGATAAGTCAGCAAAACAAACTTTATCAAGTTAACAAAGTGTCACATCTGACTTAAGAAGTGGGTTGGGTTGATAAATGCCTGCATGCGAACTCCTAGACTAACAACAATTAACCAACTATTGTTCGAAGAACTTGATATAAAAATAATATTTATATTTTTATATTATTTGAGTGTTATATTTTTTTGTTTTCCTGTGTGTCTTTGCCCTGCATGGACCAGCCCAATAAAGAAGACAAACAAAAATATTTTTGTGTGCAGTTGTTTTGCAAAGAATCTTTGTAATTCATTTCTTTTAATGTGAAAGAAAAATATTCAATAATAAAATTTATTTAAATGTGTTTTGAAGTTTGTTTATTTCTTTGTTTTTACTTACCTAAACTACTACATTAGCATAGAATGTATGGTTACATGCAATTTCAACTGTAAAATGATGAGACCTAGCTGCCAATTTATTGCTGTGCTTAAGATTGTAAAGTTGAGGTAACAAATAGGAAAGCTCCCCTTAACAATTACCATGAAAATATTTATAGAAATGGTACAAGGAAGCTATATTATGTCAGTGGGAAAGTGACTAAAGCAGAGATGCCAGATTAGGACTGATAATATTGTAGATTCTTTGGATTTTGTCAAGAATCTCTAAATATATAGCAGAAGCCCTAGACCAGAAGTGGTAAGAATATTCAATACCTGGACTTAAAAATGTGTAAGATATATTCTGGGAAGAAAAATAATCTAGAACAATACAGTAAACCAACTTTCCTAGCATCAGACCTAGCAATTGATTCAATATAATCATTTCATTTATGTCAGTGGAAAACATAAGTTCAAGAAGAGAAAGCTATATTGTTTGTCTAATAAAATACCCTGCAAGGTGAGTTGCATAACCAATCGATTAGAGCCCTGCCAAAAAAAGGTAGAAGACTAATAGATTGATAGAAGAATCAGATGGTTTGCCCAAGTTCTTAAAAACAGGAATTACAGCAAAAGATTTCCAACTAGGAGGAAATGAAGAAGCAATATGGCATTTATTGTAAAAGTTTAGAGAGAACAGAAGCACATTTTTTAGGACTATTACAATTCCACATACTTGGTGGGGATCCAGTTTAGAGATGATAGCAGAAACCATGAATGGCGTTATATGCATATCATGCAATAGAAATGCAGTTCTAAGTGGAAAGTT